GTAGAGGGACATGCCCGACTTAAAAAAGTAACTGCCCCCCCCAGGATCCACACGGAAAGGGCCGCAATTCTTGCAGCACGCCCGCTCCGACTGGTTGTGCCTGCAGCTGCCGCGCTGGGGGCGCGACCAGTTGCGTGCGGACGGTGGTGGAGGCGGGGACGGGGTCACACTCCACCACGTGTTGTTGTCCCACAACTTGCCACCGCTCCTCTTGTACTTATTGACGCGGCCACCACTGCCGCCGTACCAGGAACCAGGAGGCATCTCAGCACGCCATGGCGCCTGCTCCATGTGCTGGAACGGGGCATGGGAATCGAAGTCAAAGGATGACTCGCCAGATGCGTGCCGTTCTGAAGATCAGCATTTGGCCTGTCCAACAGATCTTGTATTTGAACGGCTAGGAAGAGGGCGAAAAGGAAGAGGGGGAATGGTGGGGAAGGTGCAGGGTGATGAGGAGGGAAGGGTGGGAAGAGGTGGAGGAGAACTTGTGTCTGCAGATCAGGATCAGCTGGGCGCCGGGCTTGCTGTTCTCACCCGCGAGGTCGGCATTGGTGGCGAGCTTTATCGACATCCCTCCCCCCCTCCCCTGAGCCAAATCCTGCACTCGGCTCGCGCGGAAGAGCGGGGAGGACAAAAACGGGGGGGGGGGAGGACATTTTCATCTCCCCCTCCTCACTCCTCGAATCTGCAGCGTATGACTGCTACTCTCCTCTCTTCTCGGATCCTGTCCAGGCGGGGCCCCTTTTCTCCCGCATTCACTTTTCCTAGCGTGTAGGAACTCAACAAGTGATACATGAGTGAGATGGCCGTTTCCGACCGGGGCGTTGCCGGTGTTTCAAAATGGTACTCCCGCTGCAGCGTTGGCTTCGTTCTAGAATCCGCGCTGCTCCCGTCGTTCCGAATAGCGGTCTCGCCCCAGCGCGAGTCAGAATTCTGCATTTGGGTCCTTCTTTGTCGCCCCGCTCCTTTCCCCTCCTCCGCCTTCCCCTGGCAGAGCGCCCAGCTTCGAATCGTTGAGACGGATCGGGGATCGAAATTGACCAGGTCGGCGGAAATTGCAGCCATGTCGGGAGAAGCTGAGTCGGCAGAAACCGGCAGGCTAGAGCGGCCTCCACTGAAAAGCCGACATCATGAGCGGCATCCGAAGCCGAATCGAAGCGGACCGGGACAGTCGCCCGACATCGAAACACAATGGAGCCGGAGGAATTCAACTCAGCCCTGCCTGGTCCTCCTGCGCCTCCCTGAGCATGCAATGGGGGCCAATCCACAAGAAACATTCCGCAAGAAATCCAACCCTGAGACCTCAGGACGTCCATCGCTTTTTGGTGTGGGAACGTCACGCTCCCCATGGCAAAGCCATCGGAGCCCAAGACACCCAGGGCACCCTGGGGGCAAGCAGAGCAGGGTCCTTCTTGGCATGGGCCTCCACTGTGTGTGGAGGCGGAGGAGGAGGAGGAAGAGGAGGAGGAGGAGGAGGAGGAGGAGGAGGAGGGGGAGGAGGGGGAGGAGGAGGGGCTGAGGAGTCGAAGGAGGTCAGGGCGGAGGAGGAGGAGGGGAGGAGGGGAGGAGGAGGGAGGAGGAGGAGGAGGTAGGATAGGAGGGGGGGGGGGTCGTGGAGCTGCCTCAGGCAGGAAGGACTGCGCTCCATGCGCGCCCGCGCGCCCCGTGCCGCGAGCCCTCAGAGGCTTTGCAGGGCCTCTGTCCATCTGTCTGGCACTCTCTGGAGCGTAAATGCAGTCAGCCCGTATAGCAAGGATGCGGGATCAGGATGCGAGGGCCTTTCGAAGCTTCCCGAGCGGGGCGCGGCCAACGGAGGTGGTCAAGGATAGACCGCAGAGGCAAGGATGCGAGGGTACCCTTGGGAAGGTTACCCATCCTTCCTCTGTGGGTTGACTGTGTTTGCTGTTCGCTTCATGCCATTCTCGAGCAAGAGCAACAACACACTCCCATGCTTTATGGATCGAGTCGACTGAGCTCATCCCGCTCCTGTTCCTGTTCCTGCTGCTGCTCCTCGTCATCTCCCTTCGTCCTCTTCCTTATCCTGTTTCTCTTGTTCATCCAATACCTCTTCTTCTTATCCGTCTTCTTCTTATTATTGTTCGCCTCCTTTTTTCCGTATTGCGCAAAACCCGATGAGGACTCTGGGGGTTCCAGCAGAGTCAGCCCTATGGGGAGAGATGGGGGAGAGGGGTGAGATATCAGATATGTCGCGAGAGCACCTACGTAGCTTGTCCCTCTGCCTTCCCCTCCCTCCTCCTGTCTCTCTGTCTTCCCTCCTCCTTCCCATTTTCTCTCCCCCTTTTTCTCCTAATCCAACTTCTCTTCCTCCTCCTCCTCCTCCACCTCCTCCTCCTCCTCCTCCTCCTCCTCCTCGGCGTCATTATATTACTATTCTTCTCCCTAGAACCCCTCCCCGGGTCTCGCCGCGAAGCACAT